CCCAGGCCACTTCCCACCTCAGAACCGCTCACATGCCCTGAGCCTGATGTCCAGTGGAATAAAAGAGTGCTCTCGGATGCCCCGGGCCAGCGAACAGCACTGTGAAGTGAAGGAGCTTGTTCCTGCCTGAATCCAACATATTTGGGAAGGTAGTATTTTGTATGCCGTTAACACTTGGATTTGAAGGAAATGCTAGTAAACTTCTTTTACTTAAGACATTCATGTCTTGGAATGTGCAAGGAATGTAGACAAATAACTGCTTATTATCACAGTTTCTATAATTATTTAAATATTGTGAAGTTGGGTGATTTGTTTCTATAATTATGTCAATTTTCAAATATTTTTATGGGTATGTATGGGTCCAGGATGTTTTCACAGATGGTTTTATTAGTTGAGATCCTAATAAAATAGGGCTAAGCAATCAAACTTGGTCTGTCCATTTCTCTCCAAGTGTTACTTTCCTATTAATAACTTTTAAATTTGTTGGCAAACTGCTTTGACTTGAAAGGCCACCGATCTTGAAGATAAATACTTTTGAATCTTTCCGTAGTGGTGGCTTACAGTTTGAATGCTGCTATTAGTGCTTCTGCCGAAGGAGAAGACATAACTTGCCTATTATATGTTATTTTTTGGTAGCATCTGACTGGCAAACCAACTTGCTGCTAGCCATGGTCTTTCCTGGCTTATTGCTACAAGAGTGTGGCTCAAGACATGTGAGTCATGGGAAGTTGCTGGCAATTACAGAAATGGGATAAAGGTGAATTTCGAAGAACATGTAGATAATAAACTAGTTCTGTTGTTTACAAAACAGTTACTTGTGCCAATTGACATCTTTCTGCAAGTAATTAATCTGCAGATAAATAACCAGTAACAAACTTTATTACGCTGACTGTATATGGTACTGCCAGTGTGCAAACTGTCTTTCCGGTCGATGGAAGTTTGCACTTAGGACAACTGTGGATGACAGAACAGCTTTTTTCCCAACTGTACAGTGATAATGTTATTACAGTGAACCTAAACATGCAGTAATAAAAAGATGTGAGACAGAATATTTTATGCCTTAAAATTATCCTGTATTATATTACTATGAAAATCTGTTCTGTATTCAGAGTATCACTTGCTTAAATGCTGCTTATATTTTTAAATTGATATAGTTAATTAGTGTAAAACTTAATGTGGGCAGTCTTAACCCAGTTTAGACATTTAGTTCTTAATAATTTTGCCTAGCTGTTTTCCTTATAAAATCAAGTGTAAATAGAGTCGAATGAAAGCAATGAGACTGTAGGACATCATTTTGTCCACAGGATTTCTGATAGGATAGAAATGACCTAACCTGATTATTTTTTAAATTTATTTCAGTGAATCCATCCTTTTGTAGACAAGTTCTCATAATCAAAGTTAAATTTGCAGGACTGTCATTTAACGAGATTTTTGGTAAACAATTGTACTTAATTAAATACCTATCATCACCTTCCACCCCATCTTTCACATGTAAAAAGTCATTAAAGCATACACTGTGTTTTCTACAGTACTTCTAAAAATATAAAAGCAATGTACATTTTTCAACATTACAGGACTTTTACTTGTAAGATGATTTCAATTTTATAGAAGAGCAAATGAAGTAGTTAGTCAAATGCCCATCAACTCCTCAAATTCTCTAACACCTGATTAACACAGTTATCCCAAAGACTGTTGTGAGTTACATGCTTCCATTACTGGGTCTCTTCAACCTGCCCAAATAAACAGATAAATAAAGTTCATATGGATCAAAGCATGTGCCACTTTGAGAGTTGAAATAACTTTTCAGAAAGTAACAAAAAAGCTTCCTGACTTCAAAGAAAAAAGTGTAAATGTTCATGACAGGGAAAAAACGTGTTTTTACAAAACTTGCCATTTTCCCTGTTGTGTTATTAATAGGCTAGAATGAAATAGGCTGTTAGGATGGCTGACCGGGTTAGACACTTGGCGGTGCTTCATCTGCATCTCACTAGGTTTGGCATCTCACTAGGTTTAGCTTCCCTTGCACCTCGGTTTCTATCCTGCACTTCATCTCTGCTCTTGGTTTTAACTAGTGCAGTTATTTCAGAAAGGTGATTTTAGTTCTTCATTATAAAGATTAGTTTTCATTTTAATTTGATGTTTAAAGCCTCCTTACTCTTTGATAATAGAACTGTCCGTGTACTTCACACTTGTGAAGGTTCTCCTGCTTGCCTGGGTTCTTGCTTTCCCCTCTCACTGTACGAAGGTGAAGGGGATTGTAGGCAATAGCCTTACTGCTAATTGCATCTAATCATGCATCTTTTATGTCTTATGCACAGCCTTTAAAGTGCACTTAACACGTTAATTCTTGAATCTTCATAATTTCAAATATCTCATTAGAGGAACACTTGTTACCACTCTTCTTGCAAATCAGGTCTGTTTCTCACAAATGTTTACTCCTTGCATGTAAAAGGGAAAGCTTCCCTCCGAACCAGCCAGCCTCATCAGCCCTGGAGTTCTGTGCAGTTGATTGAGATCTATCTGACATCTACTGCTCTGGTGTAGAAGATACAAATTAAATTTGTTCCATTTCAGCCTCTCTAGGTAGTATTCAGTACCCATGTAGCCTTGGGCAGCCATGTGGTTAACTATGTCCCTTACCAAATGCTTCCTCTAATCTGTTACTGGCAGGAAGGGAAGAGTTGCTGGTCCCTTTCTGTTGTAGCCATCTTCAGATAGATGAAACCTGAGCCTGTTGCCTCATCCCTTTCCAAAATAGGATGTTTGCCAGCAGTGATGGGAGAGGTAGCAAATGAGAGAGGAAGGAGCAGAAACTGTGACTGATGTAGTGGGGAGCAACAGATGTCATGTGGAAAATTGAGATATACTCAATAAGCATTTTCTACAAACATTTTCATACTGATGTAACTTAGTTATGGGGTGTGAGATACGAGCATATGAGAGAGTGAGTGAGTTGAAGCTTTGAAACAGTTCAGACAGATGGAAGTTTGTGGTTGAAGACAATTTATGTGGAATTACAGGCTAGTGGTGTTCACAGCTTAATGATTCTGCTTTAAAAGTGATTTTTATGTTATCATTAAAGAGATGTGGTGAAAGAGAATAGAAGGAGCTGGGTTACAGGAAGCAAGGGAAATAAAGGCCAAGAGCTGTTGCTGTTAAAAATGTGTCATCCAGAAAGAGCTATACCCCGTGTAACAACATAGTACAGAGAATTACAGGTTACTTGTGGTACTGACTTCAGCTTGCAGTGCTGGCCAACACAGATTTCTTGGAATACATTATTAAAGGCAATATCACAATAACTTAATCAGAAAATATGTTTTGACATCTGTATTACAAATCTTACTAAAGTATCTATTTAGAACAGAACAAAGCTGTGTGTGAATCAGCACAATGTATTTGATACTCAGCATGATACCATGGGATTTATTTTCCAAATAGGCTTTTAGTACTTGAAGCAGAGTTCAATTACTTGGAGTATTGCCCTTTGTATTAAAAGGAAAAAAGGTTTATTTGCAGTGTACTCACCTTGCCAAATGTCTTGTTCATAGCTTGCGTTTCCATGTTTCTTTTTTTTTATGTATTTGATATCTTTCAGCAGTCAGAGATCACTTGACCCATGGGATTTATTTTCCAAATAGGCTTTTAGTACTTGAAGCAGAGTTCAATTACTTGGAGTATTGCCCTTTGTATTAAAAGGAAAAAAGGTTTATTTGCAGTGTACTCACCTTGCCAAATGTCTTGTTCATAGCTTGCGTTTCCATGTTTCTTTTTTTTTATGTATTTGATATCTTTCAGCAGTCAGAGATCACTTGACCTTAATGTTAACTGTTGCATAATCACCTCTTGTTTCTTTTCTTGTCGAACTTGAAATTAATAAATTTAACTGATTTTTTTTTTTTCCAAACCCATTTATGGTAATGAGTTACATCTGGGGCTCGTATCAATTGGAATAATAAAACAGTGTTTTCATCTGAATTCCAGCGCCTCTACACAGTTAATTGACTACATTTCTAGTATTTCTACTGTTCAAAGAAAATTCATATTTTCCAAATGGCTTGAGTTATTTCTTTTATTATAATTTTTAAATAGGTGTTTTATAGAAATATATGGGATATTTTTTGAGTGTCACCATTTTGATAGTGCTTTATAGATATTTTGTTTAGAGATGATGGCTTTCTCTATCATTAGCATAAGTCACAGAATACAGTATGTGTTCCCTAAGTATGTTGTTTCTAGTCTTCATGTTCTGTGTCAGACTAACTCACCTTTTATCATTCATATGTTTTATAGATTAAGTTTTGCTTCCCCTGTCAGAAATAATATATATGACAGCGAGTGTTCCCTTTATTGCTGAGGAGTTACAGCTTTTCATAGGGTATTTGCATACTGTGGTTTGAACTTCAAAATCAGTGATATTTACATGGAAATTTTATATTTGTCATCCTTAACAGAAAGGGCTATCGCAAGACATGAAGTCAGAGAAATAGAACAACGTCATACAGTAGATGGTCCCCGACAAGATGTGACACTGGATGAAGAAGATGACGTGGTGATTATTTACAACAGAGTACCTAAGACTGCCAGCACATCCTTCACGAATATTGCCTATGATCTTTGTGCGAAGAACAAATATCATGTTCTACATATCAATACAACCAAAAATAATCCTGTTATGTCTCTGCAAGATCAGGTGAGCTGCTGCATTCAGAATGTCTTTATTAAACAAAGGGAAAACATAGAAAACCTTTTTTTTTTAAATTGCAAACTTACATGGTCTGATGGAACTGCCTTTTATGGCAAATTTTCCAATATAAATGAATTTATATTTTCTTTGTACAGAATTAATATTACTTCTTATTTAATAGCTTTTGGTTTTTGCTGGGCTGCCCAAGCTGGTAAGTGTCTGTTTATTGAACAAAAGCAAAGCTAAAAAGGGATGCAGCTAGGGCAATAACAACCCCGGCAAGATGTTCATCAGCTGCCTCAGCTGGCAAACCTCGTCAGACAGCCTTAGAGAATATTTTAGTAAATTCTGAGAAATCAACAACACAAATCTCTGTGGTGCAGTCGGCACACTGGAGGGAAGGGATGCCATCCAGAGGGACCTGGACAGGCGGGAGAGGTGGGCCACTGCCAGCCTCATGGAGTTCAACAAGGCCAAGTGCAAGGTCCTGCACCTGGGTCAGGGCAATCCCAAGCACAAGTACAGGCTGGGCAGAGAATGGATTGAGAGCAGCCCTGAGGAGGACTTGGGGGTACTGGTGGATGAAAAGTTGGACATGAGCCAGCAGTGTGTGCTGGCAGCCCAGAAAGCCAACCATATCCTGGACTGTATCCAGAGAAGTGTGGCCAGCAGGTTGAGGGAGGTGATTCTCCCCCTGTAGTCCGCTCTTGTGAGACCCCACCTGCAGTACTACATCCAGCTGTGGGGCCCCCAACATAAGAATGATATCAACCAGTTGGAGCGAGATGCAAGGAGGCCACAGAGATGCTCAGAGGGCTGGAGCACCTCTGCTATGGGGACAGGCTGAGAGTTGGGCTTTTCCAGTCTGGGGAAGAGAAGGCTCCAGGGAGACCTTGTTGCTGCCTTCCAGTACATGAAAGGGGCACAAGAAAGCTGGGGAGGGGGGACACTTTTTACAAGGGCCTGTAGTGACATGACAAGGGGTAACGGGTTTAAACTGAAAGTGGAGTGATTCAGATTAGATGTCAGGAAGAAATTCTTCCAGGAGAGGGTGGTGAGGCACTGGCACAGGCTGCCCAGAGAAGCTGTGGATGCCCCATCCCCGG